CCAGCGGAAGCCGGCCGCACACACCTGGCACCGGTCGGCCGCCTGGTCGCACAGGGCACAAGACCCATCGCATGTGACACATCGGCCCGCGCCGGCATACTCGCCGGGGGCGCAGGTGCTGCCGCACAGCGAGGGCGCCTGGGGGTCCAGGAACACCAGGCCCGCCATGCAGGAGTCACAGGCCTCGGCCGTGGTGCACGTCTGACAGGAGCCATGGCAGCGGAGACACACGCGCGAGCTCTGGTGCCAGCCCGGCTTGCACACCTCGCAATGGGCCTCGTTGACGCACTTGGAGCAGCCCTCCGGGCATGGCCGGCAGGCGCCCTGCGCGTCGGGCCAGAAGTCCGGCGGGCAGGCGTCCAGGCAGGCCCCCTGGTGCAGGTGCCTGCCCGGGGCACACCCGGTGCAGGCCGCCGGGTCGCCAGGGACCCGGCACTCGGCGCACGTCCTGTCGCACGGCAGGCATGTTGCCGGGTGCTGGACCCCGGCCGGCGGGGCATGGGCCGCCTGGCACCCGGTGCAGGCATACCGCCCGGCGGAGACCGGCCCACAGGCGGCGCAGCCTCGCATGCAGGTGCACAGGCTGTCGGGGCCGGGCTCGAGCCCGGGCGGGCAGGCGTCCAGGCAGGCGGCCGGCGCATCGAACGCGGCCAGCCGGCAGCCGGTGCAGTCGCCCGGGGCCGGCCCGGTGCAGGCTGCGCACCGGTCGGCGCAGCTGGCGCACTCCGGCGGGAAGGTCCCCGGCGGGCAGACATCCGCCGTGACCAACAGCACGGTGGCCGGCGCGTCGTGCAGCCCCGGCAGCAGGAGGGCCAGCGACCGGCGGTCCGGGGCGAAGTCCGGCGGAAGCACATGCACCGCGGCCACATGCGCCAGGGGAAGGCCGGCCCCCCCGGGGTGGGGGGTAAACCGGGCCCGGTGCATGCGACACAGCGCCCGCACCGGCGGCGAGGTGGACCCCCCGGCGCCGGCCAGCCGCAGCCCCGGCCGCGGGGCGCACTCCATCAGGGCCAGGCCCACATGGCGCTCGGTCAGCAGGACCAGGGCCCCGGGGAAGCGCGGGTCCCGGCGCTCGGCCAGGCTCAGCCCCCGGATCTGGTACTTGCTGGGCGGGTCCTCCGGCAGGATGCCCAGCTCCTCGACCATGATCGGCACATTGATGGTGCGCTGCTGGGACCCGGTGGTCCCGAGGCCCGAGTGGTAGACCATCCACCGGTGGATGTCCGACCCGGTGCCAGGCCCCCCGGCCCCCCCGGCGGACGTCGTCAAGATGGTCGACACGAGCAGGTCCTGCTGGCCCACGGCACCTGGCTCGGCTGCCAGGGCCACGGGCATCCACAGCCCGCTCAGCGGGGTGCTCATCGGGAAGGAGCCGGCCGCCAGCGGATCCGCATTCCGGCGCAGCGAGAAGGGCACGAGGCTGATGGAGGTCGAGCCGGCCTCCACGAGGAAGTCCTCCAGCAGGGTGGCCCCCGGGCCGGCCGGCTCCCGGGGCAGGCGCACCATGGCCGGGTGCGTGTGACACGACTCCAGCGCGAGCAGCACCCGCACGGCCGGCTCGGCGCCCGTGTCGAAGACCAGCAGCAGGGTCCCCCGCCGGGGGTGGTGGTGACCGTCACATGCTCCGGGGTCAGGCGCCGGAGCGATGCGCATGCCAGGGGCTCGGCCGCGCGGGGCGCCCCCTCGGCCGGGATCGGGACAAAGGGGCCGATGGATGCCGCGCACGAGCCATCCCCCCCCCGGGGGCCGGCGCACCGGAGGACAGACCAATGCAGCCGGCCGCCGATGCAGGCCACCGCCGCGCCAAGCGGGTCCCCATTCGCCTGGGGCCTGGGCGGGAACTCCACATAGGAGGTCGGCTGCCCGGTGGCGGCCGGCCATGCGGACAGGGCACTGGCCTGGGCCCGGGCCCCGATCAGCTGGACGGCCAGCGGCGGCCCATCCGACGCCAGGGAGATGGCCAGCAGGTGCCGGGCCAGGTCCCCCGCACTGGCAGCCGCGCCGAGCAGTCGCGTTCCGCCCGGGTGCTGGGCGAGGTGGGTACTGGCAAAGTGCCACCCGCCGGCGGCCGCCTGCCCGGGCGCCATGTCCAGCTCCAGCCGGGCGTGGGCGACGTCCAGCACCAGCCCCGCGGTGGAGGGGTCCGGCGAGCAGCGCTGCCCGGTCCCCTGCGAGTAGCCCGATGCACAGGCACTCACACATTGCCACTTCCCGGTGGCCGGGTCCACCTGGGCCAGGAACGGCTGGGTGCACACGAGACATTCGTCGCCGCTGCAGACCTCGCAGTTGTCCACCGAGCAGGGCTCGCAGGGATCTGCCCGTGGCAGGGCCAGGGCATGGCCGGCGGAAGCCGCGCACCGGGGCAGATTGAGGGTCGCCAACCGGCCGGCCGGGTCACCGTGAGACCAAGGAGGCAGGGCACACAAGGCCACCGGCGAGCCCCGGGGGCCGGGCGTTCGCGCGTGCACATACACACACAGAGAGAGAGACCCATGGACACGGCGGGGCCGGCAGGACGAAGGGCCCGGTAGCACGGGCACATGGCGGCACGGGCACATGGCGGCACGCGCACATGGCGGCGACCGCGGCGGACGCGGCAACATGGCGGTTATGGTGGGCAGAGCGCCGAGGTCAGAGAGGCAGGTCGAGGGGGTGGCAAGCGAGACGCGCCACCGGGGGGCGAGGCCAGAGCCAGGTCGCACCGTCCAGCGACCACGGGTCCTTGGGCTGGTGAAGGGCGGCACACCCGCCGCAGAGGAGCCCCGGCGCCATGAGGGGCGAGGTGAACCGGTCCTGGGCGCACGTGTATCCACAGAACAAGAAAGCCAGGCTGCAGGCACAAACGATCGACGGATCGGCGCCGTCGCAGCCGAGCGCCTCGGACGCCAGCAGGAGGCTCTGCTCCGTCAGGCCCCAAGTGAGGCCCGGCCCGCCGGCCGGGACCAGCACCGGCAGCAGCTGGCCGAAGGAGATGCTGTGAGGCATGTGCACCTGGACCCGGCGCGCCGGCGAGCCACTGGAGAAGTGCAACTGCCAAAGGGCCGGCGGTGCGCCGGTCGAGCCGGCCCCCATGGCAATGTACCCCACCCAGCCGATGGGCACCGGGGACAAATGCGCCTCGGGGGCCAGGAGCTGGCCATCGGGCGGCACGCCGGCCGGCAGGCGGACCTGCCAGTGGTGGATACATGTGCCCGGGGTGTGGCTCTCGCGACAGATGTCGACCAGGCCCCCGGCCAGCAGGGCCACCCGGTCGACGGTGCCACCGCCGGCGGTCACCCGCCGTTGGACCACATCCCGCACAGGAGCCGACAGGGTGACCGACTGCACCACCATCAGGGCATCCCGGGCGGGGTGCTGCACGTGGTGGATGGTGGCCGATGGCCCGTCCCACAGGTAGAACCCCGGGGCATGGGCCAGCGCCGGGGCCTGGACCGGGGCGGGCCCCTCGCCCAGGTCGGGAATCGTCACCGGGGTGGACAGCCCCTGCAGGGAGGCACGGCCGAGCACCAGCGCGTTGGTCGTGCCCAGGGACATGGCCACATACATGACCTCGTCGGGGCCCACCGACCGAAGGGCCACGACGTCCCCCAGGAGGCTGGGCTTGGGGAAGACCCGCCACGGGCCGGACACCTTGGCAAGCGCCAGGCCGTGGGTGCTGGAGTAGGCCCAGCCCAATGGGCTGCCCTCGGAGGTGGGGACCAGCTGCGAGTGAAAGCGCGACCAGTTGGGCTGGAGCCCCTCGATGCCGAGGGTCTCCGGGGGGGGAGTACGAGGAAATCAGCCCCCCGAGGCGGTGCTCGCCCACCGGCCGCGAGGAGACCGGGCTGGCATAGTGGATCACCATGTGATGGTCCTTGAAGATCCTGACAACCGCCGGAGGGTGGTGCCCCCGCACCATGGCCATATGCTCGGAGGCCAGGCCGAGTGGCGGGGCCGCGAGCAGGTTCACCGGAAACAGCGACCGGAAGAGGCTAACCTCGGCTTCGGGCAGCGCCAGCGGCGCGCCGCGCCCGAGACGGCCCCCCCCCCCCGGCCAGGAGACCCCACAGCAGGAGCACCTGCCACAGGCGGCGATACGCCATGCGCATGGCGGACACTCGGCGCCAGGCCCGGGGAACCGGGTATAATTGTGTTGTCAGATGGGTCTTGGTGTGGTTGTATCGCGGCCGGGGGCCACACAAGCAGCGAGTGCGCAAGAAACAGCCCAGGAGCGTTTCGAAGAGGAGGCGCGAGGGGAGGGCGCGAGAGGAGGGCGCGAGAGGAGGGCGCGAGTCGCGGGGCGAAGAATTAGCTCCCTGGCCCCGGCGAGGGCCAGAGGCAGCGCCTTTTTGGGCGACCATGGAACGGGGGGGGGGCGTCGCCATCGTTGCAGCCGGGTGAAATGCCCCGCTCGTGACACGACACGTGATCCCCACTACTACCAACGCTTGTATGAGTGCCGCAGCCTAGGTATATAAGGCTGCGGCCCCTGCTCTGTCCGCCGATGCGCCTGCATCGCTGCCTATTGTATATTCCCTTTGTGCCCAGATATACACATTACCGTTCATCCACGCGTTGCCCGATTCTACCCAGGCATCACACCGCTGCGTTTCACCGGGCACATGAAACACACCGGCGACCGTGCGGTAGAGTGCCAACGCACGGAATCGTCGCGCCAACCGCCCTCGTACTTTGCCCGCCGGCGTCAGGGGGGGCGGGGGAGGCGATGCCGGCCCCTTCCCCGGGGGCCGGTGGCCATGCCCGGCCCGTGTGCGAGGCGGCCACGGACGGCGCCAAAGTGCCGGCAGCCCGGCCGGGGCCAGACTGTCGTCCGACGAGCGCGGCGTCCGGTCCGCGCCCGGCCACACTCCTGCGATGGGGCCACATGTGCCGGGGTGCCGGGCGATCGGCGTCCGGCCTGGCCGGCGCGCCGGCGGCGCCGGCGACGAGCCCGAGCGAATGCCGGCCGGGCAGCGCACCAGGGTGGGCCGCCAGGTAAAAAGGGCCTCGCGCGCGGCCGGGTCCCATCCGCCGCGTCCGAATGATGTAGATGGTTATCATATCTGTCTAACACACAGAATGTCCCAGGTTCGAGTCCTGGTTCGGACAGACCCTTTTTGGCGCGCGTGTATATGCTTGTATATTTTTCATGTATATACTGGCCGGGGAGAGAGGGCCGGGAGGGCACACGGCGACACGCGGCGCGGGCGTCAGCCATGGTGCAGGGCCAGGGCGGCGGCGCACTTCTGCCGGAGGGCCGCGGCCGGCGGCCGACCGGCCGGGATGGGGCTCCAGCAGGCCGGCAGCAGGTCGGCCACGAGCTGCGGCCCCGGTCCAGCGGGGAGGGCGGCCAGGTTGGGCCGGGTGCCGGCCGACGCGGCGGCCAGGATCTCCTCCAGGCACATGCCTTTGTCGCACGGCGGGCGGACGGGCAGGCGAGCAGGTACGGATGTCAGGGCCGGCGAAGCAGCCCCCGGGCAGGAGGAAGACGAGCCGCCGGGCGGACGTACCATCGAAGGGCCGCGCGCGGGCCAGACACTCCCAGGCCATGATGGCCGCGCTGTAGATGTCCGCCAGCAGGAGAAGGTCCTGCTCCAGCAGGATCCCGCGCCGGAAGGCGTTGATCACCTCCGGCGCGGCATAGCACACGGTCATGGCATTCAAGTCCGGGACTTCGGCCACCAGGGCCGAGGACCGGTCGGTGCTGAGGTTGCGCGAGGTGCCCAGGTCGCCGAGGGCCGCGCGCCAGCCGCCGTCCGGGCGCTGGCTGGCAAACACGTTGCCCGGCTTCAGGTCCCGGTGGGCCACCCCCTGCGCGTGCATGGCCTCCAGCCCGGAGGCCCACTGCTGGCAGATGTCCAGCAGGACGTGCGGCGCCAGTGGCACCTCCGAGTGCAGCAGCGTGGCCAGGTCCGTGTCGAAGCGCTCCATGACGATGGCCGGCGGCTGGTCGCTGTAGCCGTACAGCCGGACGACATTCGGCGCGTCGCGCAGCAGCCACATCAGCGCCACCTCGTTCTGGAACATGGCATAGTGCACCGGCAGCATGGTCTCGGCGGTCGGCGACTTGATGGCCACCACCTCCGGGCAGCCCAGCCGGGCCGCAATGCCGGCCCCGATGGCCTGCGCCGCGTAGACCGACGCCTGGGACCCACTGCCCAGGGCCCCGTCCAGCCGGTGGAAGTCCGTGCTGACATTCACCAGGATGGTCCCCGGCAGGGACAGCTCCAGCATGGTGTTGAGGATCGTGCAATCCTCGTCGGCCGGATGCGACTTGGACCCGGGCCGGCGGGGGCGCCGGCGCAGGAGGAATAGCGCCAAGAGGACCAGCAGGAGCAGCAGCAGGATGCCCAGCCCAAGCCCAAGCCCCAGGGCCAGGGCAAGGCCCCGTCCGCTTGGGCCCTTGGCTGCGTCGGTGCAGTCCGCCTCCCCGGGCCCGGTGCATCTGTCGCACCCGGCGTGGCAGGGCGCGCAGGCCGGCGCCGGCGCGTCGCGATCCGCGAATGTCCCATCCGGGCAGCTGGCCACACACGCACCCCCCAGCACCAGCAGGCCGGCCTCGCACTCGAGGCACACGTCGGCCACCGGGCAGGACAGCTCTCCGTCCGGGCCGAAGGCACACGCCGGGGTGCCTGGCCCGGCGGCGCACCGCTCGCAGCCGGCCGGACAAGCGAGGCAGACCCGCCCTGGCAGGGGGGGCGCCGCGGCCGGGAACTCGACCGCGGCCAGCCCGCCAGCCGGACAGGCGCTCAGGCACATCCCATCGCCCGCATGCAGCCAGGCATCCGGGTCCGCGCACGAGGTGCAGTGCTCGGCCGCGCCGAAGCATGCCCGGCAGGGGGGGCCGCATGGGGCGCAGATGTGCCCGTCGGCCGCATACTCCCCCGCCGCGCAGGCCGCATCGCACTGCCCGGTCGAGGACGACAGGACGAAGCCGCCCTCGCACGCCCGGCACGAGGATGTGCACCCGAGGTCGGGCGTGTCGACGAGCACCATGCACTCGGCACAGCGCTCGGCGCAGGGCTCGCACTGCGTCGTGACCCCGCAGCCGAAGGTGCCGGCCGGGCAGACACCCACGCACGTGCCCATGTGCAGCCGGCCGGCGCCGGCGCAGGCCGTGCACTGATCGGCCCCGGGCCCGGTGCACCCGGCGCACGAGCCATCGCAGGGCAGACACTCGCGCCCGGCGGCCGGCCCGTCGGCCATGTAGTGGTCAGTCGGGCAGGTAAGCACGCAGAGCCCGGCCATGAGAGCCCGGTCCCCCGGGCAGGCGGTGCAGTCGCCGGGGCCGGAATCCGTGCATGTCTCACAGGTCGAGCTGCATGGCTGGCAGGCCTGCTCGCTCTGGAAGGTGCCGGCCGGGCAGGCGGCCAGGCAGTGGCCGTCCACCAGGAGCGGGGCGTCCGCACCGCACGTCAGGCAGTGTCCCGGCTCGAAGCCGTAGCATGTGCCGCAGGAGGGGTGGCAGGTGGTGCACACCCCGCCCGTGGCCAGGGACCCCGCCGGGCAGGAGCTCACGCAGGCCGGGCCGGCCAGCAGCCACCCGCGCTCGCACAGGGCGCAGGTGTCCGGCGACCCGGGGCAGCTGGAGCAGTGCGCCGCGCACTGGCGGCA